CAGCAAATAGAGGATAAATATGTAAACAGCATTACAATAAATACAGTAAACGTTTAATGAAAGGGTGTAAAATCACAGATGGAAAGCAGTTCTTTTCAATGCTCAAATATTAAAAACTGAATGTAGTTAAGAAAAGGGGATAAAATAGGTTTAATGTGAAGGGTAAAAGCAGTTCCTGTCAGGAAATATTCCTTGGGAGGAATAATATCCCAAGGGGAAATAATGATACACATATCATTTAGCACTACCATAATTAGGTTGAACAACACATTCTAAAATACATAGTAATGAAGAGTAGAAGTCTGCCCTGTCAGGCCATTAATTTGTATTTGCTCTTCTTAATAAACCTCTTCTGTATTATGTATAAATACTTGATAGCCTAATACTTCTGTTGCATGTAGTACTCACACATATACAGTGATCTACATGCATAATTTATTTAACCATGCAGAAAAATAAGCCACAAGTATTCACAGGAAGAGAGTTAATCAATAAATTTTGGAATATATCATTGTGAAAAGGATGCTGTGTTTGTTGACTTTAAGATTGTCCAGGATTTAATTAACTTGATTTTTTCAAAGATGTTATCTGAAAATCAGACTCACCTAGATATGCGTTTCATGCATATAATTTGAGTTTGCTTGAAATGATGTTGATATCAGTGATCAGATAATGATGCACTTATCTTGTTTCAGATCTTTATAGTTCAACATTGATGATGTATTTCTTGAGTGGCTTAAAATCTAGTGTAAATAAATAGTTTTCACTAAATGTAATTGTCAACCTCAAAATCCTAAAGAAGACACAAAGACTTCTAAGGAACTTCAATATTCTCCTTTTATTGAATTAACTACTTATAATCTCTTCTCAGATAGAAGAATAACATACCAGGCTTGATTACTAGTAGCCAAAATCTTCTACTTTCTCAAATGAAATTTTTGGTTTGTTTGTTTGTTTACGGTTCTCAGAATAAGATCCCAAAGACATAATGAACGTGTCAGACCCCTGCAATTATAATCAGGAAAAAATTAAAGTAAGGATGTCTGAATAACTAAGAACCAGACCAACAGAACAGTTGGTAAGTTATACAATTATCCAAATGCATTTTGGCTTTTTTCCTGAAATTAATAATAATATTAAAAAAAAATAAAAAAATTACAAGGATAGGATATGGAACTCATAATAGAACTCGTCAGCAGGTCCAAAAATGAACACAGAAAGGTGCATAGTTTTAAGTTTTTGTAATCTGGATCTGCTCCATCTATATTAGTTTGGATTTTTAAAAGCTTTTTGTAAATTTTATGAATGCATTTTTTAGAGTTATGACAGAGGAAAACGGAAGAGGTTACTTTCTACCCGGGGTGCCAGTACTTGCTTATGAGGGCTATAACAGATTTTATCCAATGAAATGGCAGTTTGAATGATTTTTTTTAGTGTTGAGGTTTTCCTACTAAGAGCCTGCCAGACTGTCTGGAGCAGGCAACCTCAAAAAGCCTAGAAACAACAACAACAAAAGATTAACTATTAACAGTGGAGAAGCCTGCTGTGACTATGTATAGCAAAGCAACAGAATCCTTAATGCTTGATACATGGAGTGGGATGGAGTATGGAACATTTTTTTATTATTTTTTTTCAGGTATTTCAGTGACTGGAATCATAGAGTATCACAAGCTGGAAAGGACCCACAAGGGTCATTGAAGCCAACTCCTGGCTCCACCCAAAAACCCAACCCTATGTCTGAGTGCACTGTCCAAACAATACTTGAACTCAGGCAGGCTTGCTGCCATGACTGCTGCCCTGGGGAACCTGTTCCAGTTCCTGAACACCTCTCAGTGATGAACCTTTTCCAAACACACAGCCTGACCCTCCCCTGTCCCAGCTCCATGCTTATCCTTGGGTCCTGTCACTGTCCCCAGAGAGCAGAGCTCAGTGCCTGCCCCTCTGCTCCCCTTGTGAGGGAGCTGCAGGCCGCCCCTCAGTCTTCTCTTCTTTAGGCTGAACAAGCCAAGTGACCTCAGCTGCTCCTCATATGCCTTCCCCTCTAGAACCTTCACAATCTTTGTAGCCCACCTTTGGACACTCCTTGATAGTTTTATGTCCTTCATATATTGTGGAGCACAAAGCACTTTACTCAATGTGAGGCCACACCAGTGCAGAGTAGCATGGAAATCTTGAAGGGAAATATCATGTTGTCAGTTCTGTGAACCTATAGAACATTTAAAAGTTTTGTTTTACTTGATAGTCTCAAATCCTATTTTTATCAAAATTTGATTTCGACCAAATGCTGTTGCCCAGCTAAGGAAAAAAAAAATATGTCTGGGTGGAAATACAATAGTCTCTGCTTTTCTTTCATGCAGAGGAATAGTCAGAGACATTCAAAGCTATCAATAAGTCAAATATGTCCCTTCTGAGCAGGTGTCATAAATGACAGCATGAAACAGTGTCTTCAACCTGCTGACCTTTGAGTCCAGTTACTATCAGACTGCATTTTGAGAAATCTGAAGAGTATTTCCTGACAGTTTGTGAATCTTTACCTATCTGAAAAATTGCACTGTGTGAATGCACAGAGTGATTTCTGAAGCTGTGACCTAATATTGTGTGCCTATATTATGACTTAAACTCAGTCTATCTAGTATCTTTACAGATATTTAGGAAAACTGTAGGACAACATACTTAGTATACTGGCAGAAGTACACTGACATACTAACAGCTTGTGCCTATAGCTGACTAGATTTAAGTCAAGGAAGCAAAAGGGTGCAGAAAAAAAAAAAAAAAAAAAAAAGTCAGGAAGAATGATGAAACAGCTTAAACCTGTTAAACCTGAGCATTTTAAGAGAGGAACAAGTTGTCTGTTAACCTTTTTGAGAGGTAAACATCGTTTCTTTTGCATCCTCCTCCTTTGACAGCCAAGTAGATGTGGTCTGCTGAGAATTCCTGTTGGATTATGCATCTGAAGCATCATATGTGGGAGAACAGCTCCTCTGTGCTTCCTGGGAGAGCTTGGTTTGCAAGATAAATGCCTGAAACTGGGATTCTTGTATGCATGCCAAGAAGCAGTATCTAGGAGCCCTGACAGTTTGCTGGTGAAAACTCAGGAGAGGTTTAAAGGCTGCGATTTAATTTTTCATCTAAATTGTTTGATCAATAACAATTTGAAGAACTTTATATATATATTTATAGAATCTAAAACTCATAGGTCCCCTGAACCTACGGGGTCTGGATCTTAACAGTTTTTCAGAATGTTAACTGAATCTCTTATGTATCAGTGATTTAAATGTAGTTTATGCAGTATAGTTTTTAGAGAATATCACATGGAAGGTCATTAAAAGATACCAGCAATCTGAATTATTTCTAAATGATCTGCATTCTTATTTGTACAATAATGGGGCATCTGTGGTGTACATACTTGCTGGTAGTTAATGTTACAGTATCATAGTTAGTGGTGATATGTGTAACATACATCACATAGCACAGATCTTAATATTTGGAATTTTCTTTTGAAGTGTGAGTCTTAAATTGTTCCTTGGCAGAACCTACAGGAATAAGGGATGACATAATTCATGGTTTGGAAAGGGATAGTCATTGTCATTTAACCAAAAGGACATAGATATCTAAACTCATTGCTCCTTCACATTCAGCAATGTACTTAGAAGCATTCTGCATGCAAATCCATTTACAGGTATATCCATTAAGTACTTAAATATCAACAAAACAGAAAATCAAATGCTTCTATGGGCAAAGGATGTAAGAATTCTGTCATTCGTGTAAAAAATATTTATATGATAAATTGTCAGACTAAACAATGGTTTGCATTGATCTAGAATCAGTACTATTTCTCCAACTAATTTTAGGCAAGATTGTTTATAATATTCAAAGAAATGTTTAAATATAGAACTGTACCTCAATACCATGTGTCAAGTAATTGACAGGTCAGTGTTAATTCAGTAACATATTTGAGGCATAGCAATTTACTAGCAAGTAAATGATAATCAGTGTTGGAATACTTCATTCCCACAGAATATATGAAGTTATATTTAAACTCATGTTTAGGATGAGTACTAACTCTCTAAACCCTTAAGAATGAAAAGCACTGCTATCAGGAGTAATTAACTTTTAATTGTTATTGGTGAGTTCTTATATATGTGGCTTTGTCAGATCTTGTTTGTTCCTTCTATGTGCTTTCCTTCTTTCCTGTTTTTAACATCCATAGTATTTTATTCAGAATTTATCAATTTTGGTTTCTCAGATAAAATAGCTAAATTAAATTCACAGTTATTAAAAATAGAAGCAATATATAGTATAAAAAAAAAAAGGAAGCAAGAAGGGAGATTCAGTGCTTACTAGTATACTCCACTTTTCTAATTCCTCCAGTATATTTGAATTGTTCCCTGGTTTAATTCTACTAACTAGAGTAAAGAACACAGACAGTCAACAGATGCTGCACAGAAATTGCTTAAGAGTGTTCAAGACCTTATCCCTTGGTGTTGATAACAGATCAATATCTGGCCAGATTTTGTGTTCTTTTCAGGGGAATACAATGATAGAAAAAAGCTTATTACTTTTGTAAATAATTATTTGCTTAAAGACTCTGCCCCTTCTAAACCCCATTGCTTTTTGAGTGTCATACACAATCCACACTTATCTTTGTCTCTAATCAATAGGTATTAGATATTCATCCAAAACTACTGTCTGTGTCATCTCTTAGGTCTCTATTCTTGGCTATGATGTCCTGATTTTTTACCACTTTAGGAGGACTTTTTTGAGTGTGGTGAAGTTTTGTATTCCTTTTAATTTGGTGCAACGGAAAAAACATGTAAATTAAGAAGTGTAAGAAACATGTTCATTAAGAAGTGTAAGAAAAAAATGCTGTGATGTGCTAGAGCATTCATCATGTCACTCTCTATCAAAGTTTGGAGGCTCTTAGTTGTAAAGCCAAACAAGATTGTGGCCCATGAGCTGAGGTCCTCTCTAAACAGACCTTTTTCTTCTCTTTGCTTAAGCCTTCCAACACCATTGAGGAGAGAGCAAAAAGATGAAGGAATGGTTTGGGTCTGACAACTTTGTGCTACAGAGCAGCAGCTTCGCACGGAGCAGAAGGTGGTGACCCTTTCTTCATAAAGGAGAAATATCTACAGGCAGAGCCCTGTAAAGGGCCTTCAACTTTTTCATTCTTTTCTGCCACTTTCTGTAATATCTAGCTACCCTGAGGAAATGTTTCAGATTTCATTTCTTTTGGATTGTTTGTGAAATGTAGAAAAACAGATGTGCAAGTTAAGGTAGACTGTGGTATGGGAGTCCTATCTCTTGTTCAGCTGTGGTCCAGTCTCATGGGAAGTGGGATTTATCAGTAAATGCTACTAAACTGTACTATATATGTGTGGCTTTATTAAGTGATGTTTGGCTGCCCAAAGCACTTGGGTGAATGTATCTCTGTCTGTGAATACTTTTTTTTTTTTTTTTCCATGTGCCCACTTGTGAAAGCTACTGCACTCTATGCTCTCAGAATAATACTTCTTAGTCAGAAAAGAAGTTAATGAAAGTAAAGTCATTCTAGAGGACATTCTCAGAAACACAGTATAAAATAGAGGGGAAATGCCAGGGAAAGCAAATACAGTTTGTTGTATTCAGTCAGTTTCATTTTCAAATGCCACCAATTGTTGGCATTTAGCCATTTGTTAGAGAAAACAGATTCCTCGTCTCAAAGTCCTAATGATGTAGTAGAGATTAGAAGGGAAAATTATAATTTATTTTGTGTAAAGTCCAAAGGCAAAATGCACTCGAGTTAGAAAAAAAGTTAATAATAATTGTCCTATTTCAAGCACTGGCATTCTTCAGCATGATGATGGGGACATATTCAGGAAGAGGAGCTAATGAGCTGCTGTTTTCTAATCAAAGCAGAAAAATCTAGTGGCAAAATGACAGACTTTCCATTTCAGTGTCATTTACAAAATGACAAAAGTAGCCCATTGCCTACTCAGTGAGGAAAAAATTACAAAGTGTATTGCTAATAAATATTTTTGTTGTTTTTCATAATGAACCAGGTGTATGTATTTAATTCAGTATATGTTATATAAAAAGGATATATTTACCATGTTTCTTACAGATTGTTGATTAGTCAAAGAAGACAGGTATTGATGCTCTTTTTTTGTCAATTTTTTTCCAGTTGAGAAGCTTTGTGTTCCATATGTATGTATATCTGCGTCTATCTGTCTTGATTAATAACAGATCCATAATTAACAGTAAAATTTCTGTTTTATTAAGAAAATAGACAGAAAGTGTTGAGAAATACTGATATGATTCCATAAGGAAAAAACGTGCTGTCAAGATGGTACGTTTAAAAACTACCCCCCAAAAAATGCATTCTGAAGTTTGAGTGGGGAGAAACAAAAATGAAGAACAATATAATAAACAGAACACCCTAGGAAAGGACTGTTCACCTAGTAATACATTGTTGCAGAGAAGGAGCTGACAAGAAAAATAAAATAAAAAAAAATTTGTTCTGAAAAATTGCTAAGAAAGCTTGACTCCCTAGATCTACTTTAAATCTAAGCCATTCTCCAATAAGTACTCTGACTTATCATTTGTATGCTCTATCCCTGCTCTGCAAAGCTCTACAAAGCAGCAGGAGAGCATAAAATATTTTTTTTTAAGTCATCTGCTCATATATTTCACAAGTAAATTGTCAGGTAAACGAGACTGATGAGTAAAACAAACAGGAAATCCTGGGAAAAAGCATCTCTTAAGGCATTTTGAATATTTAACTAGCCAGAATTCCTTTCACTTACTAATATTTTATAAAGAAAACAGTAACTTTGTGCTTTAATTTTTCTGAGATTCATACCCAAACTTAGCAATAGAAATAATGTCTACCATAAATCATGCTGTGGTAGCATTCGCAGGAGGAGAAACAGCCCTTGAACAGTTGACATTATATATACATTGACATGTATATTTCAAATAATAATAGCAACACTATCTTTAAACTGGAATAGACTCAAAATTATGTTGAGGATATTTTTCTTCATGTGTGTACAAATATCAGTTTTCCTTCTGTGAGAGAGTCAAAAGAAAGGGTAGTTCATGAGTATACATGCACCTTCGGTACCAGGTCAGTTCCATGTTGAACTTTTAATCTATTGCTTAGTTTCATTCAGATTAGTCAGAGCAAATACTGATTTATGACATATTGCAATGCGTATGTTAAAGGAAGCAGCCTTAAGTGACTGAACAAATTACATCTGTAGTAAGGAAATGCTTCAATAGGAATTCTTCCTTTAGTTGGATACGTTAACACTAGAAAACAAATCCATAAGAATTTTCAGATGTATCTATTGTTTTTTTCCTTTACCAGTGGTAAGAACTGTTCAAACAAGTTATGTGGAATTAGTGAGAGAACCTGCAATTTGATTTTGGCTCATGCATTGCTCCAGTAAATGTTAAATTTAACTGGGAGGGTGGGGTGTCTCCTTGCTGCTTGGCTTGATTCAGCTGAAGTCTTAGGACTTAGCAATGAGGTAGTTTAGATGCAGAAGGAGATTTTGTAACTCATTCCAGGACAAGATTTCATAACTTAGAAGAGCTCTCAGAGTTTTGTTCATCACACTTGTTCAGAGTTTCATCACGTGCTCAGAGATTGGCAGCTGAAAGATTTGAGGTTTTGAGGGGAACAGTTTATGATATATTTCAAGTCATTTGCTATTTTTTCTTCTTTCTTGCCAACTTTGTTTTCTGAAATAAACACTCACTTTGCTGCCTGATTGTTCTTGTGATTTGCTCTTTTAAACTTCACTTGGATATTTTAACTTTATTGCTGTATTATAATTTTTTTTTCCCAATGGATGGCTGTCAGAGCAGCCACCACTTCAAATCTAGCCATTTTTTAGTCTCAAAATAAGTGTATCTGAATGATTTTTAGATTTGCAATTTAGCTTCAAAGAACACAAAATGCATGGGGTGGGAGAAAAACAACTGTCTGTGCTGTATTCACATTTAAGAATTCACTATTTTATTCATTGGGTAAAAACAAAACAAAACAAAACTGCGTGTTTTGGAAGTCATCATCTTTGTTTCAAAAGCAGGTTTACCTTTTGCTTATATACAAATACCTAAATTAAAGTATTGAGCAAGTATGGATACACTGATGATTACATGCCTGGTATGAACTGTTCTACTCAGAAGGAAATGGCTTTTTGCGCCTGTATTTGTCTAGACAATTTTATTATAGAGATCATAGATGACTTTCAAATATATTCTCATGCATGTATGGTTTGTATGGAAATAGTATGTATGAAGGATTGAATTGATGATATTTAACTGTACACTATGTGAAGTGTGTATAATATGTTGGCACAAGTAACTATGGTTAAAATGTGAGTATGAAAAAGATGAAACAAAAAACAATCTTTCCTGTCACACAGCACAAATGTGCTTCTAACTGAAAACAAAGTTTTTGTAAAACCTCTCAGAGGTAAGTAATTTAAAATGGAGGTAGCATTAGATGACTATTAAATGTCTTCAATGTGGATGTTTCACCTGATCAAAAATAGTTTACCAGTTTAAGGCTACATAATATCAAAAAAGGTACCTGCATTTTGTTGTGACTTCGTGTCATCTCTGTTTTTGTTTGGTTTGGTTTGGTTTGGCTTTTTTGTGTGCCATGGGAGCTTGTGAAGTCCAAGTCCAAGTATGCTGAGGTCTGCTTACCAGCATATTATGAAGACATCTCTTAGAATAACTACGACAGAGTAGCCAAAACTGAGCACATAACCCTTCAGCATTTCTCATCCCATCAATGTTGCTGTCACAAGCTTATCTACCAAATCCTTGACCTGCTTGAATGCAGTAGTGAGAGACCCAAAAAATTAGAAGAACATTTGCTTTGGGGGAATGGAGACATCCCCTTTTCATTCATTCCCCCCACCATGATAAGGAAAAGAATTGCACTGATTAGAGGCATGGCAGTCCCCAGGGGTCAGGCTACAAGGGTAAGGTGATTAGTAGTAATAACATACTGTTTACATCCTATGTAGAAGTGATTAACCTTGGCCCCAAGCAGCTACCAGTAAAATGTCTATTCTGGGGTGAAGTATCTCACAATGCTTCTTTGAGACATATTTTGTGCTACACAAATAGTAGCAGCCAAATGCAGTGAGAAAGTCAGATATTTCATATGAGGTAGGGAAGCAGCAGAACTTCAAATCCTCTGCTAAAGGGACTTCATAGAGAGTGTTACAAGGAAATGAGAGAAATGATACAGCAGCTGCCTACATGGAGGCACAAATCACTCAAAGAAAATAAAACTGAGCCAGTGTGGCCACATGTATGTCTGGAGAGATATTTAGAGTTGCAGCCCAAACACTTAGGTTGGGGAAGCTGTGGAGGCTTCTTAATTGCTCTGAAAGATACTGCAGAATATCAGCATTTCAAGGACCACTAGGCTTCAGGAGCCATTCTTGGCAATGATCCTGGGCACCTTATAATTCACAAGAACAGATAAACTTAGATGACCAGGTGACACCCTGGGAGACCAGTTTAAAACTAGTTAATGCTAAGTTATGCTTTTGTTTGTTTGTTTGTTTATCAAAGACTGAGTTACCAACTCAGGACTCCAGCTGATATTCAGATGTTAATCCAGCTCAGGAAGAGACATGCTGGGGGGTATGTGCATAGCTGCCTGCAGTGCAATGCATGGCACAAGATGTATGTGCCCCAGGCCATTTATCTAATTTGTACAAAATCCACATGCACACATAAAAGGTGAGAAAAGTCAGTTATTTGTAACAGTAAAATAAATCTTTCAGTTTGAAGTTCCACCTTTTAATTTTTATCAGTCTTGTACATCATGTGGCGGCCAGATACAATGAACTGTAAAAACTAAACAAAAAATGTCTGCTAGATTCTGCCAGCTAACATCTCAAAAAGAATGACACCTATACAGCGAGGAAGCTAATAGCACATATATTTACCCAGTGCATTGTAAAAACACTGAAGTAATTTTTGCATGTCTATTTTTGCTGTTTCCCATGGACAATTTTTTTGACATATTAGAAATAGAAAAATTTAATTAAAATTGATAATACTGAGCCAGCTGACGCTACTGGCCTTCTTACTAAAAGACAGCACAGTTTTCAGGAGCAGTGCTACAGAAATCCAAGCTAGGAGACTGTAAACTGGTAGTAAATGAGAATGGCAAATACTGTGATGGTAAATTCAGAATGACAATATTAATTAGGAAAATTTATTTAAAATATGTTTTCCTATCAATCAATTCCTTTCTGTTAATGTGCGTTTTCAGATTTACCTACTTAGAAAAAATGCTGAACAGGTTATTCAAAAATTAAGTTAGAAAGAAATTCATATGTTGAGAATAGGTATAATCAAACCTACCAAACATTATACTAAGCTATTTTATGCCAGTAATACAAATTATGCTTGGCTATTTTATACCAGGTTAATGCATATTAACCTGAATCTAGTCATATAGATACCTGAGATGGAGTATGTCTAGTTCTGACTTTTTGTCTGACTTTTTGACTCAAAAATATTTGGAGAGTTAGGCAGTCTGATTTTAATCCAAATATTAGATGATGATACATTGATTTTTTCTACCAAATCTATCAAAATTTCATGTCATACTGAATTAACATGTCAGTTACAGAAATATAACTGTTTATTAAATATCCTCTTTTCGTATGTAGAAAACAGTGATTTGATGATACTCATTTATATTTGTTCATGTATGAATATTGCCACCTTTAATTCTTCATTTTTTCTTGCCTTTTAAAAATTTTGAGACTAATAAGCCTGTAATTACATGGTTATCTTTTTATATGTGCATTAGTTTTTCTATGTTACCTCATTCTCACTCAGTATTACAAGTCGTAATGGAAAAGAACATTAGTGGTTGAAAGTGTTTCTTGGAAAATTCTCACATGCAAGTTTTCTAGAGCTACTGACTGTTTAACTGTTTCTGTAGAATGAGAAGTATTTCTTTATCACTTAAAACTCGTTCCTTTCTGCAAATGCAGAACAAATGTTATCTATAATGACTGGTTATCTGGTAGCTGCAAGTAATCTGCATGTATCTGTGTGTTAACACTTTCAAATTTTCAATAGTGTTTGCTACTGCCCCATTAGATGACAAATATTTTTTTGACTTGTTGGAACTATCATTTGCAATTCAGGTAAAGAAGAGCATTTCCAATTTCAGACAGGAAAATTTGGATCAACTGTTATCAGGGCGGTTTTACCATCAATAACCATCTCAGAAAGAAGTGCCCAAGTTCCTTCAGAAGAAAATAAAAACAAACCACAAAGTTTTTCTGTTTCCCAGGCTCCTTTACCTGCAGGGAAAACCATCTAGCAACTAATTTATATTATTGGTTTTGATTGCTAAAAGGGAAAAATGAAATACTCTAAGTCTTGAAATCTCAGGAATGATTAGAAACCTGTGAGTCATTTTCTCATTTCAGTGCATATTTTCATAGTAGACATGACTGCTTTTCATTCTCTCCAGCAAATTCAAAACAAAGCATTCTGGCAATACAATCATCATGCACTGACTTTCAGTCATTGAGTAGGCAGAGTTACCAAGTGGGTTTTTTTATTGTTGTTGTTTGTTTGTTTGCTTTTTTAATGGCATATCATATCTTGTCTTCTAAATGTCATTCAGGAACCAAAAAGTTTGCTGTTCATGGTGAGAAGCATAATCATGAAACTAAAAGACTGTTTGCACCTGTTAAGAAAAAGGGCCAAGGCATTGGTGGTAGCAGTGGTATACAGAGACCTGGCTTGACACAATGGCAAGGAAACATCAGTGAACATCATGTACTCTTTCTAGAACTTGAATAAATTCAACTATACATGATGAATACAAAAGAATGAAATAAAAATCTCTAAACATTTTGAAGTTTGAGGAATCAGTATCTGAAGGTTTTCTGGAACTTCATGATATTATCACCTTCTGCGTTGAATTAAGTCTGTACCCTGGTTCAAGATACATTTGGATTGCAGATGGAGCTAAATTTTGTTCTCTTGTCTTAATAAGGCAATTTATATAGTTTTGTGGTTTTTTTTTTGTTTGTTTGTTTTTGATTTTAAATCTATAGTTATCAAGAGAGAAAGAAAAAGATTTCTGCATTTATAAAAATAGTATTTGCTAATGCTAACAAGTGTGAACATAGCAGCAGCAGTTCAGTGGAAACCACCAAAACTTCTGATTGAATTTAGCATCAGGCTTGTTTTGTTAGCTACAAAGTTTGTAACAGGTTTTGAAATCTGTTTTCTCCTTGTAGATAATCATGTAGGTCATTTCCAATAAGAAGTTAGTTCAGTTTCAGTCATTGTGGTGTATCAGTAAGATTTTTTTTGTGTGTGTGATTTATACTTCTGTCTTCAAGCAATGGAACAAAGTGATTGGCTTAATTTAATTTAAATGAAATTTCTATTCCTTTGGGCGAGATTTCTAAATTTATTTAAGCATTTTAAAATGCCTAATGTCATTCCTACCTTTAGGCTCTGCAGATACCTGTAGAATGCTGGCCTAAAAGCTTAAGTCATTTCAGAAAATAATACTTCCATTCTAAAAGACTTAAATGTTTGAAAAATTATTATTGCTTACTGGAAACCATGTCTTCTAGCCCATAACAGTGAGATCTTGTGGACTTGCAGTAACCTGAACACAGGCAAAAATATGGTATTTCTTTTAACACTTTCTCAGCCATACAGCCCCCAGTGAAATATCAATAAACCTTCCAAATTTAGTCAAAGCAATAAAAATTCTGGATGACAAAACAAAATGGAAGATATATAATCTTGTACAAGATAAGGCACCATTTTGTTATTGTAACCAAAATTAGCTCTTCAGTAATCAGCTTCTGGGTCATTTCCAGCAACCTGAGTGACAGGAGCAAGAATATAGTTATCTTTCACATCTTGGACTATTAATTAACTGTCAGTACTGCATGGATCCTAAATAATCACTAAATAAGTCTGCTAGTTTTCCAAGTATGTCACTGAATAAAATATAATGTCAGTTAGTTGCAATAAAAAACAACTAGCTTTTTGCAACATTAATCTTGCTCAGTGGTAGTGTTTGTTTGTCTTCTTTTGTTTTTAAGGGAAGTAAGTATAAATACTTGTTCCTGATGAATAGAGATGTTCACTACAATAATTTGTTAAGCATTTGTTTTAGGGAGAGTGAGCTTGCCTAGCAGCTACTCTGTAATACTGATTTTACAGAAAAACTCCTGAAGTTATTAAGTAAGGTTCCCACTTATTTCAAATAGCACCTTTCAGTAAAATAAGGAATAATTCATGACAGTGAGAACAAACCACGTGTATTGTACATGAAATTCATGTACTATTTAATTCAATCAATAAAGTAATTCATAACTGAATAAGCATCCTGTTTGTTGTGGGCACTGCAGAAAAGAATATAGCCAATGCACCGAATAACATCATCTTAACTGCTCCCTGTCATATTAGTTTAATGAAGAATAATGTTAAATGGGTTTTTAGGACTGAGTTGTGGAAGTGTAAATCACAGAATGATAACAAAAGCTTGCAGGTTGCTGCAGGACAAAAACACCACATTTATAACATTTTAAGGAAAAAAAATTAAATACGGTTCCTCCTTTTTTTTTTTATTTTTTTATTTTTTATTTCTTCTTCATTCATTTTGAGCTTTTTACAATGTTCCCCAGTATTGTGCTGACTTCTGAGTAGAAAAAATTGCCACTTACATACCTTGCCAGAGCCCCTTCTGATGAGAGTATGTATAACAATGTGAATCAGGTTGCCTTAGTTGATGAAATCAATTTTGCTACTTTTTTATTCTTTTAGTGTAGGGAATCTACACAATTTTACTAGGTCTTATTCTTTCTCATAAGCTTGTACTGGGGTGGGAAGACAAGGGTGGGCAGGTGACAAGTTTCGTGCCACTTTCAGGCTAAACTGCAGTTACTCAAGGCACAAGTTAACTGCCTGGAATTGGTACCAGCAAATTTGAAACAGAATATTTAAGTAAATTCCAACTTTATGAAGAAACTCTAATAACCAGTAATACTTCTAGAGACTATCAAAGATGGTGATGTATAATGTAGATGAAGTTCAAAAATAGCACAGATTACACAGGTATTTCTAAAACGATAATTTGACCATATAATCTGCTGGATGTTTTTCCTCTGGTAAGAGGAAATGAATAATACATTAGATTACTTGTATGTGTGGTAACTCAGAAAAACTCATAGTTTGTGAATATTGAAATTCTACTTTATTGCATTTTGAAACATTTCCTTAATTGTTTATAAATTGTTTACAAAATTATAAAAATTGTTTTTAATTCACTTTATTTATTTATTTATTTATTTATTTTCCTTCCCCTGTTAATTATTGTGTGAATGGTTAACAGACTAGAAAGAATTTTTGTTACTATCCATGAAAAAGCTCTGTTTGTTACCATTCATAAAATGCTATGGTGCTTTCCATGCACATATATTTTGGTTCACATAAGCCAATTTGGCACTTTGCTAGTTTGAACATTCAGTTTTGCTGCACAGAACCTCAGGTTTTGTCTAGCATGAGTACTGCTTTAGAGAATGCATTTGGAAATAAATCTCTCTTTCTCTAAGAAGCAAGAGACTGTGGTAGAGAGTCTTTCTTTCTCTCCATCTCTCTCTCTCTCTCTCTCACAGTATATGTATATATGTATACAAATGGAAGTGTATACATGTTTATGTATGTCCTTGTCTGCAAAAACCACAATTGCCATTTTTTTTCCCTTTTTTTTTTTTTTGTATATTTCTAGTTATCCCTTTCTAAAACTACATTTGTTTTGTTTCCTTAAATAGCCTCATAAATGGTCTGCAGCAATTTGTCTTCCACCTGTTACAGACACAATGCAAGCTTTCCCTTAATTTACTTGACCTGCAGCTAAACCTTCCCCGATCTGAGATAGCTAATCATTTCTTATTTTGCCTTGTACACAGTGGTTTCATTTCCTTGTATCATAATCCTTTCCTCAATTCCTATGAATATTTATTCAATATTTCATTATCTTGTGTATAATCAAAGTGACAGTATATTTGAATACTGAATGCTGAGGCACGTAAAGCTGCAGTGCCTTGGTAAAATAGTGGAAATCCTAATTTTATCTGAAATGTTTATTCCAAATGTTTTTTGAAAAAGGAGAACAGGATAAAAGAATTAAATTCCATAATGATGCAACATCTAGCTGACAATAGTTACAAGAGGTCTAAATGTCAGAAGCTGCTACTTTTCTGCAGTCTCGCAGATGAAATTTCCACTCCAGCAGGGCTGTCTGTTTCTGTCACTATGCAAAGAAGCCCTGCTACTGTTTTAACAGGGAGACTTTCGGGTTTGTCTTTTCCAAAGATCCATTTGCAGTGGGCTTATCCCCAGTAAGAATATAAATCGACACCATATTTTTAGAGGAAAATGGTCACTATTATGGATTGTTTAATAATCATTGTTAAGTAGAAAAATTATAGCAACAGAGAATCTGATCTGTGTCATACGTGACATAGGAGCATTAGTCAAAGTAATTGTATGAATTCATTACAAAATGTGTTAACTATCCCCTGCTATTACACATTAGTGAGATGCCTACATATGGATAAAAAGGCAACATTTGCTTGTGGTGTTCTAAACTGCAATATGTTAATAATTTATCTTTCTTTATGAGGAAAAAATGGAATAATTGAATAGCCAAATGGACTTGCGTAAATTCTGACTGAAGAGAAATATATGAGCTTCAAATTAGGTCCCAAGGTACATAGCTATCCAAACCATAAAATATGAAAATCATTTTTTTGATCAAAAGCAAGCCCTCTTTTCCCCCTCTCCCCTCCATAAAATATGACATTGCACCATATAATTGCACAGGAAATTAAAACTCTTTTCACAGGTTTAATAATAGATGAGATATAGGCTTTGAAATAATTGTTTTTATTGAGCTCTGCCATTTTCTAGCACAGCATGCAAGCTGTGGCTCACAACTTGCACCTTTGACACCTCAGAGATGGATTAGCAAAAACAATACGGGGTTCCATTTGGAGACCACAGGAAACAAACAGGTGCCAAAAGCACAAGGCTGTCTCCTCACTTTTTTTTTTTTTTTTTTTTCATTCCTAGTGCTTGGCAAAAAGCTTCTTAGCTAGCTGCCTCTGCAGTTCAACATCGTCTGGAAGCTCCCACCTGTTTCCGTACCTGCAGATCTGTTCTCCTCTTCCTGCAAAAAGCACTATTTTGATGTTCTGACTGTTCTGGTAAGTAGCCTTACCAGAGGTACAGGCCCAAAGTGTAACTTCAAACAGAAGATAGCCCTTGAACTTGTCACCCTGAACCTGTACAGTCCAAATACTATATAACTTCATATCGTCTGACACATGTTGCATAATTGAACACAGATATTCCTGAAATCCAAAACTATGAACCTAGGGCTTTTCTCATCTCTACAATGATGTAAAGTTTTAGTAACATAATGATGTGGTCAGTTTCAACCTTAGTTCCAGCTTGTCAGGCACTATGGTGTTTAAGTTTTTTTTTTTCTTTTGGCTAAGTCTTAGATATTACTCATTATTTACTTAGACAACACTTTGGAGGTTGTCTGAGAGAAGGTAGATTTTGTTGGGCAACTGTTGTGTAGGAGCAACAAGGCCTGGCTCTACATTCCAGTGTAATTGTGAGTATTCATTCCTAAAGTTGTCTAGAAAAGGAATAAACTGTGACTTTTAGGATGAAGTTAACATCCTTTATAGGAGGAATTCCTCAAAATCCTGATTTGTGTGTGTGTGTGTTGTTTATAACTGGTGTCTTTGTTTTGCTATGCTTTTATTCCCCGGTTTGCAAGTAGAAGCTGCTGAAGAGAGGGTGTTACTTCAGAAGCAGAGGAAAGAGAACCTTGGGAACATGAAGCAGAGGTTGGGCTGGCAAAGATTGATGTTGCTTAGTAACCTTCAACAGGGAAGCATTTAAACAAAGTTTGCATACTTTAGGGCAAAGGAATGGGTTTGATTCTTGTTTGTTTTTTTCACTGATGTTAATATTCTTGACTTAATATTTTTGCTTGGTGCTCATCTGAGGTTTTGGTCAGCAGAAGTCTGTTTAGCTTTTTTAATAAGGGTGCAAGACAGGAAAAAAAATGTTTTCTCTAAAAGTCATTAAACGTTTTTTTTTTTTATATCACTGTGAATCCATACAATTGTCTATACCCATCTCTCTCTCTCTCTCTCTCTCTCTCTCTTTTCTCTCTCTTTTTTTTTTTTTTTACATTTGGTGGCGTCATGTATAACGCAAAGAACACGTTTATATTTTCTTGCCCTGTAAAATGCGTGAACACCTTAGATCTTCTCTTGTATGACTAGATTTGAGGTTGGCCACTTCCAGAGAATTTTATTATGATTTGCGAGTCCAAAATTAATTATGATTGCGAGTCCAAAAGTAGAAACAATTGGAGGCTGGCAATTTAGAGTGTACCTATGGTGCAGTGACAGCAATTACACATTACACTTCATCATAGGCAAGCATCAAGTAGGAAAGAACCCAGTAGTTTACTCTGTTCCTGGGGTCAGTCTTACTGTCTGTGCTGAACTTCACTGCCATGATTGCCTTTATGTTGGTACTGGTAATCACAGGACAGTAACATATGTTCAGGCTCAGTCAGAAGTGATCCAACTGTTTTTTACTTGAGAACCAGAGATCAAGAGGACATTTTGCATCTAGGAATACATACATACACAACACACACACATATTATTATATTCTTGGAGGAAGAAGGAAGATCAATTATTAGAGAACCCTAATGGGGAGGAGAGTTGGTAAACTCTGTTAGGATTTGGAACTTTTCAAATCTGAAAGAAAGCAAGACTTCAAGAAAAGCCGCAGAAAAAGTGTGTATATGAATTAGCATCCTGGATTGGATTTATTATTTTAAACTGTTTTTCTTTTGACCCTGATGCTTACTTTCAAGAAAGATATGTCATTTTTAATCATCCATGTTATGGTTTCCAGAAGGAAGAAAAAAGAACTCTGAACTCAACTTGTGCTTTATGTCAGTACTGCAGTCCTGCAATTTAGAGCGATATATGTGAAAGGGAATTGTGCATATCTGTTCTAAGCTTATTAATGCAGAAGTATCTGGAAAAAAATGTGTGAAATTCTACAGGGACCCACACGCATTACCAAATTTGGAGTGAATATAGTAGACCCTGATTTAAATAATCTAAATTAACGTGGTGTGCTGATTTGTAGTGCTTGACACTGCCATGTTTTAGCCGGCCAACAGTTATTTCCTATCCAAAGATAACATGTCTCAAAAAATATATATATTTTTTATCTAACTAAAGTGGGTCATGGTATAATTTTATTTCAGTACGGTCTTATCTACATACAGACAGAGCTCTGAAAATTTTTTCATGCTGTGTTAGTACGTTTCAGTACATTTTAACAGCATCTTAATAAATGTACACCCCACAATGACTTTTCAAGAACCGTAACATTAATAATTTGTAAGCTTATAAAATAAAATCATAAAATAAAAAATAGTCAAGTAGGATGTGTTTGATTCCACAACACACAATCTGAAAGTATACTGGTGTCCCATGTCACTAGGACATCAAGGCAGAAAAGCATGGGGATTTCTTTCCTCAGAAAAATCACAAAGCAAGTGATAAGGTTTTGTAAGCTGTACACTCAGAATTTTGAAGGTATGTATATTCAGTAAGGTTTGACACAGCTGAATGAGTATGTAGCATCAGTTCAGTGGTGTGTTGATTCTCATTAGGTGCAACTATCAACTTAGCAAAGTAGTTTATGAAGAGGTTGAGGTCAGCTGAGGTCAATTACCTACACTCAGGACAGCTGATACTAGGGATAATTGCTTCCTAGTCAGATTTCTGCTGTGAGAACTTGAGGCCAAATCAAATGCTTTTACACTTCTGGCTGGGCATCTTTTGCAGAGTATTTTATACTCCAGGCTGTGTGGACAATCCATGAGTTAAAGAAGTAAGATTGAGACTTAGTACATGAGTGAATAGTCCTGTGTCAATGATCATTTCTATTCTGAAATCATTTCAGGGATTGGTGTTAAATCAGTGCATTATTTATTTATTTATTTATTTATTTTGGTTTTGTTCACATAGTGCAACAGTAAACACAGATTTTTAATTCCTATTTGTTTCAAATAATGAACATGGAAATGGATGAAAATGTACTTTCACCCATTTAAGGAACTATAAAGAGATGATGAATGGTGAAAAGATCAATCTTTTTGTGTCCCAGGTAATGCAGACATACATCTTGAGTTAGCTGAATCTATCTGAATCTGAGATGCTGTTGCACTAGTGTACTAGGGCAGGAAACAGCACGGGCTCAATCCACCAAACTCTCATAACATATCCAGGCTCAGGTGGCAAATATGATGGGCTATGTAAGAAGAAGGAGCTACTCAGTAGTTTGCTACTCAGAAATTGTACTGGGGCTTTTCCTTACTTTTGTGATTCTACAGTCAGGTGCAGACCAAAGTATGAGGAGCAACCACAGTTTAACACCATCAATTCCATGAACACATCAGGTTGGAGACTGAGAGGCAGGGCGTAAACTGCATGCTGATGGAAGACAGCCATAAACATCATTTATATGAAGCCCCATGATTTCATATAAATGATGTTTATAGCTTTTTTCTTTATTATCATCTCTTTTTTGAAGAAGCTCAGCCTCAGACTGGATCTTGTTGCTTGCCACTAGGAGGTGGCTCTGCAGATGAGAAATGGGAATTTGTCTTATGGAAACAAATCACAGAGATTGTCACCTAAGTGACATCATGACCTATAAATGACATCATGCATTTGTCTAGACAGTTCTGTAACATCCATCTTTGAGTGTGAATGTGGTTCCTGTTTGTTTGTTTGTGTTTTTTGTTTTGTTTTGTTTTCTACAACTTCTGGTAATTATATTTGCTCTTGGGTTCGTAGATAATAAGTAGATTATTTTAAAAAGTAGGAAATTATAACAGGTGAACTATTAAAAACAGGTTCTTTGAAAACTTAAGCCACGAAAGTCCCTTCACACTGTGCACTGTACTGATACAGAAATAAAGCAGGTCCCTAAAGGGGTTGTAACTCAAAATAAATATTCTAGAGCATTTATTATCTAACAGACAGTCCGACCTAAATGTCTCCTGTAAATACTGGTGGGCTATGTACAATGAAGCAATTAATTTTCATGCACAGACTGCTTCATAAGAAAGGTATTGAGGTCTCAATGAGGCAGCCCACCTAAATCTAAAAAATAAAATAAAATAAAATGTAAAATAATTAAAGGTAATGTATCTGCTGAACTGAGAGATGTAAAAGTACATGTGGCAATATCTTTCATTTATACTCCAGCCTCTTCAAATTGCCTCATGCCAGTATACCTACTTCAGTTACATAACCCTGCTAGTTTTGTTATTAATTCGGAAATATGCATTTTACATCACGTATCTCCAAATGTCTCAGGTAACACACAAAAGGGAAGTAAAACACCTTAAAAGCTACACAGATCATTTAAGAAATGTGTCATGATCTTCTCTACTCTTTCTAAAGCAGAAAATATGAACAGATGCTGCTGCTGTGCTCATCCAGAGGGACTAAAGAATGACTAGGGAAAATCCAGCAGAGAAAACCCCAACGAAGGCAGAAAATAAAGTTTAACTGTGCCATGTGAGATTGGATGGTGTTGTCACTGACTAGTAAAAACAGACAGAGGTGTCAGCACTGCTTATCTTCAGTCTGACAAGCTCTTGCAGGTGTACAAAAATGCCTAAATTTGGACTGGTAATTTGACTTGCAGTGGTAACTCATACACCATTTGGGCCAAGCAGATATAATGATGTAGACCAACATCTTGCATCTGTAATTCTGGAATAACATCCTTGGTTGTAGTGACATTATCCTAGAATTGCCCTTTGTAAATAAACATGATTTTCCTTGCAGATACAGATGATGATGATGATTCTCTTTCCTCTCTTTCTCTTTTCAAAATAAATAAATCAAATAGCCTTAAAAAACAAGTACTCATATGAAATTTGTATAGATGCAATCAGTTTTAAAACGTGTATTAAAGAATGAATTTGGAGAAAGAAGTATGTAAGAGAAAGTTGTTCAACTTTTAGTTGCTGGAAGCTACAAATTCCACTGTGGACAAATTCAGCCTGTAAATAAAGTTGATATTTTCTTACAGAGACAGGAATTAAATATTGAAACAAACTATGTAGAATGTGTGGCAG